TCTCTGCCTCCCACGTGGGTTTTTTCAGTTCTTAACTCAAATCTAAGTATGTAAGTCAAGTCAATATTTTCCTATGAGAGTGGTTCTTAAGTCAAAATGTTCTTAACTCAAGCCGTTCTTAAGTCAAGACCCCACTGTTCCAAGTCCTCCATACAGAGAACGTTATTATAGTCTCTCGAGACTGAAGGATGCCTACACAGAATAACAGATAACTTTATCTTGGAACTGGAAAGCAGATGTTATCTACCTATCAGATTAAGTCATCTACCGGTCTGTGGGCTTGTCGGAACTGGGCCGCGGATATGGATCTCTCCCCCCCCCCGCAAGGGCTTGTCGGAACTGGGCCGCGGATACGGATCTCTCCCTCCCCCCCCGCATGCACGCATGGCATACCCACAGTGGGCATGCACATGCAGTGGGTGTGTCACACTTGCATGGGAGCGTGCGGTGCCCACTGTGCATGGCCCCCCCAGCTGGTCTGCAGCTCCAAAAAGGTTGGGGACTGCTGACCTAGTGTATAAGATGACACCCCCTTTTCTAACCCCCCAAATTAGAATATTTGTATGATCGCAGCCCTTTGGTCCTGAAGCCCTTTCATGGCTGCTTCAGGATCAGAGGGGTGCTTCGCAAAAGGCAGGGAAAGTGGCTGCCTTCCGTGTATATAATGACCCTCAATTTTTTTGTCTAATTATTTAAGTAAAAGGTGTTTTTTATATGTAGAAAAATACAGTAATTAATATACCCCAAATTGAGAGGAGTAAAGGTACCTGAAAAAACCATCCTGAGCCGTTTCAATGAACTAAGTCAAGCCAAGGAAGAACACAACATGTGTAACTGAAATGGTTAAGCATTCCTCATAAGGCGACAAATGTGTATAAACAATGTTGGTGACATAACACATAGTCGTATCTGAAGCTTCTAGCTAAGTCAGCTCCATTGAAATTGGCAAAGAAACTTTAGTCCACAGAATTAGCTCTGTCTGCATTGATATTCAACAGAGTTGTGATAGCTGTAGTTTATAAGTTATGTGCTATCAAGTTGGAACGAACTAATGGCAACCCTAATAGGGCTTTCAAGGTAAAAGAGTGAACACCCCCCTCCAGTGAGACACCAGAGCTTTGAGCAGGAACTGTAACAGAAACACAGCCAATGTGGCTTAATGAAGAACTCAAATGTCTTAATGGGTGCCAGGGAGTTTAACGTTCTCAGTCTTTCTGAATCTTTATTGCTGGGAGGGGCAGAGCCCTGTCCCTACCAGTTCAAGCACACCTCTCAGATGCACCAAGCATGGGGTGCTGCAGTTGCCTTTGCAGCAGAGTAGCCTGAGCAGTCTCTGCCTACTCCTGTGTGGTTGCTGCTTGCAGCCACAGGATCCTACATGTCCTTCCATCAGTAAGCATGCCCAAAATTCAGGAGGACCTGGGAGGGCTCACCTGGTTGGCAAGGAGGCCAGATGGTAGGTGGACCAGGTGGTTGGATTGGGGATCCCCCTTCAAAGTAGCCTGGCAGTGGAGCCATTCACCCTTGCTACTTTCTGTGCAGCAGCGTGGCCTGCATTGTTTCTGCCAGCATTTTGCTTCTTGCCTTGTGCCAACACACCCAGGGCACTTTCTCTAGCTGGACAAAGAACACCTCCCAGTTCCTGGTGCCAGGATCTCATTTTATAGCTGTTTGCTTGTAATGGGGTATATCCTAAAACAACTTTTAAGATTAATCTTGCCTTGCCTTGCTATAATGTAATATATTTAAAATATTTTTACTCTGCAAAATAACTTTAATAATTAATTTTAAAATTAATTAAATTACTGTAAATTGTGCCCAGTAATGTAACAGTTTAATGTAATGTAATCCTGCCTTAGGCATATTTTTCCCATTGTATGGGACTTGAGTTACTACTCCAGAGATTAAATCTGCAGCAGTGCAAATATTTTTTCCCTTGGTGTACAGTGATATCTGTTCCTTTTGGCAGAACTGCCTTCCTGTACATTACATTTGTGAAGGAGTTCTAGTCTCCACTCATAACTTAGTCTGTGCCCCTCCATTTCGAATGTATTCCCTTTCTTCTTGAATGCTCTCTTTGGATAGTGTTTTATTAAAAATATGCCATCTTCTTTCCTTGAAGATTCTTTCATATGCCATCTTTTTTCTATTTATATAACTGGATTATAAATATTGTTATTTGGTTTTGGCAGAGACAAGAGTGACTTTGTTTGAAAAGGTATTAATATTCTCTGTCTGAAACAAAACTGGTAACTTTAAAGGTAATAAAAATATTTCAATTCCAGGTGATATGTTGTCATTACTTGAATTGCCAATAATCATACTAAAGAAATACACCAGACGTATTAACAGAACACTCATGCTTTAATCTATCCATAATTAATTTTTTAAAATTTTCTGAACCACTTTCTTGCAGTTAGAGAAACAATCTTAAAGGTCTGACCGCACCCCAAAGCCAGGTCCATTGGGTGGTTCTGTTAGAGAAGTAAGACCACCAGCTGGCTCACAAGAGAAGCGTCCACTCCTGAAGGGGGAAAAAAAGAACACTATGATTCAAACACTACTGAATGCCATGCTAATTGTCCTCCCATATGATATTAAATATCACATAATTTTTCCAAGTATTAAGGAGTGGTAGCAACAGCCCTGGTAAATAAATTTCTTAAGCACAGAGACATGAAAGTCATTTTCCTTATGAAATATAAGGCAATGTTGCAGTCTTGCCTATTACTGGTACTTCTTAGGTCATGATCACATGAAGAGCAAAAACAAGCATCATGGGGTAAAAAGCTCATATTTCCCCATGTTTAGACAGATATTCTTGGATCTTGTAATAAGAGAATGATACCATTAATTTTAAGCAGTTACAGTGTCCTGTCTTCCCAAAATACTATATAGTAAAAACAAAATACCTTGGTCCAGGTTTTGGAACTTTTCCAGCTTTCAGTTCATCAATTATGTCTTCAATGTCTTTTGTTTTCAAATCTTCCTGAAATGAAGTAAGGAAAATACATTACCCATATAAAATAAGGGACCTGTATGCCTTCAGGATGCGCAAACGTACCATATTTTTCCGTGTATAAGACCCCTAATTTTGACCCTTGTAGCAGCTGGACGCGGAGGCGAAGAAGTAGCCGCACTCTTGCAGCTGCCCATTGACTGTAGCTGCGGACGCCTGATTGCATCCTCTAGTACTACTGCTGGGGCTCACCTGAAGCTCCCGTCACCACCTTGTCCCCTGCCCAAAGGGATCCCACAAGTGGTGCTGGAGGAGGCGATCAGGCAGCCGCAGCTGCAGTCAACAGGCAGCTACGAGGGGCAGCTGAGTGCAGCTGCTCCTTCGCTGGCTCCTGCTGCCTCAGCATATTTCCGTGACACTCAATTTTTGTAGTAACTATTTTAGGAATATCATGTTATACATTGAAAAATACAGTATTAGGGCAGAAGTTTTAATTATAGTAGAGTGGTGTCTCGCTTAACAATTGCCCTGCTTTACAACGATCTTTTGCAATCGCGAAACGATGGTCTAAATGGGGGAATTTCGCTTTATGCCGATCAAAAACAGTTGATCGTCGGGTTTTCAAAATGGCCACTGGGTGCTTAAAATGGCTCCCCGCTGTGCTTAGGGACAGATTCCTCGCTATACAGGCAGCGAAAATGCCCGCCATATGGAGGCTCTTCATTGCCCTGCTTTACAACGATCTTTTGCAATCGCGAAACGATGGTCTAAATGGGGGAATTTCGCTTTATGCCGATCAAAAACAGTTGATCGTCGGGTTTTCAAAATGGCCACTGGGTGCTTAAAATGGCTCCCCGCTGTGCTTAGGGACAGATTCCTCGCTATACAGGCAGCGAAAATGCCCGCCATATGGAGGCTCTTCACTGAACGGTTTCCTCGCTATACAGGCAGCGAAAATGCCCACCATATGGAGGCTCTTCGCTGAACGGTGAGTTTTTACCTTATTGGAACGTATTGAACAGGTTTCAATGTGTTTCAATGGGGTTTTTAATTTTGCTTTACAATGTTTTCACTTAATGGCGATTTTCCTGGAACGGATAATTGTCGTTAAGCGAGGCACCACTGTATCTGAAAGTTGGCGCCACAATACATTTATGAACATTTGAAATGCTGTACAGTTCTTGTTCTCTCCAGAGCAGACTGAATTACAGCTATTCCCTAAATAATTTTTACAGCGAATGATATGCCTCGTTAGGACCAAACAGCCTAAGAGTGTAAAGAGGAAAAATGTCTACTACACTTGTTTTACCATATGCCATAAATACATGAATGACAGACCTCAAGATAGCTTAGCCTACAGGAATTATATTGGTATGCGGTAAAAATATAGGCGTAAGTACTGTTTTTAAGAGGGGCAGATGTCCCTCTTAAAAATACCTAGTGTACCTCAATTTGTTGATATGACTAACCGCCTTATTTGGCCTAACCATAGGTGCACAGTTTACTCATAATAAACACTACAGTATGTGGTTCATATTCAATCCATTTTAATAATTATTTTAAAATCTTAAGACTTTATCTTTGATAAACTTGATACTTCAGAAAATTATGGTACCTTCACACAAAGTAAAACCAAAGTTAAAGCTGAAGATCAATATATCTATTTTTTAACAAACACACACTCCCAATTCTAATTACTTCTACCACACTGGGCTTGGCAGATTTTTTTCAATAAGTACTTGCTTACACCACAATGATTTGTGCAATTGGGGCTAAGAAATAGTACTTACATAATAGTTATCATTTATTTGTACCATTGGTGCATTTACACATGCGCCCAAGCATTCTACTTCCGTCAGAGTAAACAGTTTATCAGGAGTTGTTTCCCCAACCTTTATACCTAAAGGAAGACAGATAAATTTAAATTATAACAAAATGAAAAAGTAAAAACTTTAGCAATTAAACCTAAGCCACAACACGGGGGCTAACAACTCCTGCTGGAAGTGTGTTAAGCAACCTGAGACATTTTTTCACATGTGGTGGACATGCGATAAAGTAAAAAGTTTTTGGAGACAGCTAAAATGAATTATACAACAGAAAATGGCCTTTAAACTAGAAATGTTTTTACTGAACATAATGACAGAAATTGTTGAAAAAAATTAAATACATGCTGATACACATATTTACAGCTGCAAGGCCGATTTGGGCTCAAAAATGGTAAAATCAGGAGAACCCGAAGGTTGAGCTGATTAAAAATTACTGGATATTGCAGAAATGCATAGTCTTTCAGAAGTGTTCCGTGAGAACCCAAGAGCATATGTTAAAGAAAGCTGAGAAATGTTCTAAGACTGAGCCCAGAAACAAGTACGAGTAGAGAATATAGCATTTGTTATGAATTTTGTTCTAAGACTGAGCCCAGAAACAAGTACAAGTAGAGAATATAGCATTTGTTATGGATTTTATTATTGTAACAACTAGGTTATATATGTTTTCTCTTTTTCCCGTTTCTCTTTTTTCTCTCTTCTTTTCCCCTACGGTTGTTTCTCTATGAGTGTTATTTATGGTTGTTATGTGATGTTTAAAAAATGCAAAACTAAAAACCCCTAAGCCACAACAAATGTTTTTGTAATGTATTTTTCTTAATACAGGTAAGGCCAACATTTACACTAACAGATTGGCTTCTAGAAGCAGAGGAATCTTGCTTTACAGCGCACAAACTATTGGATCAAGACATACATACAAACTTAGCTCAGTGTAAAAACATTTACTATATTGAAGGAAATTAAATCTCTGAAGACAATATTTAAAATGCCATATAGAAACCACAACATTTGCTACTTGAAATTAGCAGTTTTATCATATTTGCACTTCAATTGCATGGTGACACAATAGCACTGTGATATGTTTAGAAAGAGCCATGGAAGATATACATACAGTAATGCATTAAAAAGAGTATTCTTTAATACATGGCTGGTGGCAAGAAGGGGAAAATGTGCAACTTCTGACAAATGGATCAGTACCCTACTTGCTGGGCAGGGCAGATCTACAAATAATGATCTTGGCCTGAATGATATTTCCTTTAGATTTCTGTTTCACACTTTACATGGGACTGTCTGAACAGTGTTCATAAACTATGTTGTTGTTTAGTTGTTGTGTCCGACTCTTTGTGACCCCATGGACCACAGCACACCAGGCCCTCCTGTCTTCCACTGCCTCCCAGAGTTGGGTCAAATGCATGTTGGTAGCTTCGATGACACTGTCCAACCATCTCTTCCTCAGTCGTCCCCTTCTTCTCTTGCCCCCACCCTTTCCCAACATCAGGGGCTTTTCCAAGGAGGCTTCTCAAGAGATGGCCAAAGTATTGGAGCCTCAGCTTCAGGATCTGCCCTTCCAGTGAGCACTCTGGGTTGATTTCCTTTAGAATTGATGGGTTTGTTCTCCTTGCAGTCCAGAGGACTTTCAAGAGTCTCCTCCAGTACCACAATTCAAAAGCACCAGTTCTTTGGTAGTCAGCCTTCTTTATGGTCCAGCTCTCACTTCCATACATCATGACTAGAAAAAAACATAGCTTTAACTTTGCGGACCTTTGTTGGCAAGGTGATGTATCTGCTTTTTAAAATGCTATCTAGGTTTGTCACCACTGTTCATAAACTATAGTTGGTATAAATTCAGCTGCCGATTATCTTGCATATGCAGTTTACTCTGTGGCCTTGGTCTCAAAGTAACAGCACTAGCTTTCCATGTTGCTGCTTAATACAATTCAAGATACTCATTTGACCCTACAAAGCTTTTGGCCACAATGTCTGAAAATCTGTTTTCATGAGCCTACCACTCATCTGCAGTCTTCATCACAGAACTGCTCTATGTCCAACCACAGTCTTTGTTAATGACTACATGAGAAGGGGCACCTCCTATGATGCATCTTCCCCAGGAAATTCAGGTTGGCTACATCATTACCAATTTCTTTTGGTGGGGGAATTCATTCCGTTGCAATTTATTAATTATTGGTTTCAATTGCATATTGCTTTAGGTACTCTGTTAAGCAAGAAAATCAACAGCTACTTTAAATAAGAATGATAAAGCATACAATGATAGAATCAATAGAATTAAAGAGCTTTTTTTCTTATAGCAATGGAGATGAAGGTGAAGGATAATTTGGAAGGCAGCCAGATTCTTCTGTATTTTTACTATTTAAATGAAGAACACACAGTAGAAGTTTCTTTTTAGAATAGACTGGTATCTTCAAAGAGGGAAACTTATCTCTGCTTACTGCTGCTTTTACCAGTTATACTGGGCATTCTGCCCATCAGTTCCATCTTCTCTGTGAAGAGCAACAAGACCACTGGGTATCACTGGAAGTCCCCTGAGTCTTACTTCTATAGGTAAGCACAGCTACCAGGAGATAGTTTTCATGTAGGTAAAGGTTCCCCTTGACAATTTTTGTCCAGTCATGTCTGACTCTAGGGGGCGGTGCTCACCCCCGTTTCCAAGCCATAGAGCCAGCGTTTGTCCGAAGACAATCTTCTGTGGTCACATGGCCAGTGCGACTTAGACACGGAACGCTGTTACCTTCCCACCGAGGTGGTTCCTATTTATCTACTTGCATTTGCATGCTTTCGAACTGCTAGGTTGGCGGGCGCTGGGACAAGCAACGGGCGTCACGTGGATGCGATCTTACAGCTGAAGATCTACAGACCTTACAGCACCACAGGGTTCTGCGGTTTAACGTGCAGCAGCACCACGTCCCTCTATAGATGTCCTCTGTAACCCGCAGCGCCACCACGTCCCTCTATAGATGTCCTCTATAGAGGGATGTCTAGCTGCAATACAGCTGTTTCTTGGAAGCCCTCGAAGACCCTTTAAAAATGAGTAGTCCATCATTTTTAAGCATAATACATTATAAGCATAATACAGCGCTAACAATTTTTCCCCCTGCTTCCTTTTTTCTTTTGTGTCATCTATTTTAGAGTGGAAGTCTAAGGGACACATGCTTTCTTGTTTATCTGCTTTAGGAGCTTTTCCAATTGAACAATACAAGTATCAACATTTTTAATAACTGTCTAAATAAATAGGTTTTATTAGTTGTTTTTGCAGAGGCATTTAACATGTTAAAAATGTTTCCTTCTCTTGTACCTCTTATTACTCAGATAAGTAATGTATCGCTGCATTCAAGCAGATTTTTCCTATCTTAGTTAATAGCAAAATGCATTTTAAAATGTCCATTTGATATAAGCTGTAAGCATATTAACTCAATTTACACCATAGTAGTTTTGCTTCACTTAAGCACCCAGAAAAAAATAATGTGTATCTGGTAGCAAAGAAAATATACTAATGGACTACATTAAAGTTAATTTTGGACCCCAACTAAATTCTTTGCAAACTTTGTATCAAGGAATCAAGCCTCATCCTTGGGAATGGAAGTTCTATTCATCATTCAGTTTCAAAATACATATAATCTAGTTTTACGCCATGTGTTTTTGTTATAAATGAACCTCTCCCATGCTAAATATACTGTATATAATTTTCATCTGCAACCAAATATTTAGGGGGCTATTTCAATTCAAACTACAGTTAGTCCTCCCTGCACCACCTACCACTGATCATTTGTCATTTTCATAGAAATCTAAGAAGTCTCATTTCCTGTCTCCCACTTCCTGCTTCTCTAAACTCTTGTTCCCTCTTTTGTTTATGTCCAATGCTTACTATGCTTCTTAGATGTCACCATCTCATCCACTCACAAGCAGTGACAAGGGTTCATATACAATGCAGTGTATGCTGCTTACAAAGGTAGAGCCATCAGAAAGCAGCATACACTGCATTACAACCACAATACTGCATTACACTGAATTAAATAAGAAAAGGTAATAAAGTAAATATTTTATATATTATAGTAACATAATTCGCTTTGAATCATACCAAGCTTCTTCTGAATAACTTCTAATATGCTGTCTGAGTCACACAGCATGCAAGGGGTGGTAGTACAGATCTGGATATGGTACTTTCCAACAGGTTTGCGATTATACATAGTATAAAATGTTGCTACTTCATAAACTCTCATGGGAGGCATCTGTAAAATCTCAGCCACCTACAACAAAGAGACAACTCATTTTTCTAGGCAAAAAAACAATTTGAACAAAATATTTTTCAGCATCAGTTATAATCCCAGCTATTGTCTCAGCCCTCATTTTTTAATTTCATAGTATTTTCCACTGGAAGCAACCATAAGTACAACAAAAAAGCTTTAGACCTTAGAAAGTGTAAATGGTTGGTTTGCTTTACAAGGTTTAGTTACATGAACTAATTCAGTTAACATATTTCTAAGTGCTAGACATAAGTACTACTGAAATTTGCATACTTCGAGTTATGTGCCATCAAGCTTGAACTGACTTAATGGTGACCTAAATAGGGCTTTCAAGGAAAGTGAGATATTGAAGAAGTGGTTTTATCAGTTCCGCTACCCCAGTGAGTTTCTATAACCAAGTGAGATCTGAACCCTTGTCTCCAGTTCATCACTCTATCTACTACACCACACTAGGGTTCTATAACATAGTACAACACACTATAAATTTATGTTTTCTCTTTGTTATAAGTCTGAGCACAATATCATTAAACCTGTATTAGCATTTCAAAAATCGGGTCAGGGACTTTCATTTAGACCAAGATTCATTACATATTACAGACATTTGAGACGGGAAAAGAAAATTACATTAGTATAGTATCTTCTGTATAATGTACCAAATGTAAAAGCTTTAAAAATATATTACAAATCTATCTTAATATATATATATATGGCAAGAAAAATCTGACACTAGTAAAATACCTTATTCATAGCTGATATAGGCAGCCATCCATGCTGTCTTTGAGCCAGATCCAGGACTGGTATCACTGCTGCAGATCTGTGTCCCTCTGGGTAGTTATTTATTATTGCCTCTATTCTCTGTTAAATAAACAAATGCCCCATTAGCTCAGAATTTTAGTTCGCTATACAAACAAGCCCCCCCCCATCTATGCTGACATACCTTATAGTTTTCAGGAGTAAAATCAAATGGGGTATTTGGGTTGTTTTCAGATGTATCTCTGTGCTGTGCCAAACAAAAACAAAAATTACATTTGTTTAGAAAAATAAGTTTTAAAACAAGTTTTAGTTGGCCAGTTTTGTAGAAGAAATTACTCAGATCTAACTTCCCAAGTGAGGATTAAAAGACCCCTCTTAAGGTCTATTCTTGGCACTTGAACATTCCCTTCCAAGATTATGTTAGAGGGGACCCTCCTCTTTTTCCTTTTATTTGCAGGACTTTTCCATTCACACAGGTAGTCAGTAATATACTGACCCCCTAGAAAAGGTTTTTCAAATGACTAGTGCTGAACTTCTGTATCAGTGTCCTTTTGTGATTTATTATTATTTTAATAGCTCCTGGTTTTCAGATTTGTTGGGAGGCATCTTGAATTTCCAGTTCTAGGAAGGGAGTCAAATATATAAATACATTTTCCCCTGGGGGGGGAGCTTACTGTTCATCCTGGCCTCTCTGAATGCACGCAATGAATACCTGATGACTATATTTGCATAATTATCACTATGTAGGTGACATTCCAATGAAATTTGCAGCACAAAGTGGAAGAAATTAAAGCAAGCCCAAGTGATTGCAAAGATCAGGTGGCTAGGCTTGCCCCAAGTGTTTTTCTTTGCCTCCCCACTCCACATCTTTTCTTTATCCCCTCCTTGTCTCTGTTAGAATATCTTCGTACAACCCAGTTTGGATAAGAAAGAAAACTAGTGATGCTGAGAAGTCATCATACACTTCAGTGTCTTGCTCAATAATTCAATTATCCGTCATACAGGAAGGCTTTTTAAATAAAATTATAGAGAGGCATTGCCCCTTACCCACCCAGCTCACCCTTCTAGCTGGTTTTGTGAGCCAGGAAAAACAAGGTTTTTCCACAAGTTTGATCCAGCAAAGAGGTTTGTTGTATAAGTGTACATCTCATTGGAATGGGCCTAAAAGTCATTGTAGCGTTCACCCTTATGGAAATTAAGTTATGAATTATTCATGGATACGTTAATGTGGTTAAGAGGCAAGGCCGAGAGAGGTTAAAAGGCGGAGCCTGAGAGGAGGAGTTAAGTGGAGTCAGAGTCTGTGTTAGGAATCTGAGAAGGATAGGTTGGGGTCCGAGGAGTGATTTGTATCCTGTGATATTCAATACAGAAGATTAATATTGATGCTGGGTGAAACTGAAAGAATATGCTTATGAATTATCTTAGAAACCACCTGTAATCAATAAACTTGTTCTATTAAAAGTCAGTACTGAATGGACCTTCATCTTTTCTAAGTAAAGTACGTTGATAAGGAGATCAACTGGTGGCAGTGTGTTGGGTTTTGGTTTGCCTTTGTGAGCTCTGTGTTTGGGGAAACAAGCAGGGGCTACGAGGATGAATGTCACAGCCATCAAGTCCAACCCCCTGCTTAATTCAGGAATCCAAATCAAAGTATATCTGACAGATGGTTATCTAACTTTCTTTTGAATGCTTCCAGTGTTGGGGTGCTTACCATCTCCCAAGGTAACTGGTTCCACTGCCATACTGCTTTAACAGTTAAGATTTTTTTTTCCTGATATTAAACCAAAATCTGACTTCCTGTAAGTTGAGCTCATTATAAAATGCCCTGCACTCTGGAATGACAGGGAACAGATCCTGCCCCTCCTCTGTATGATGGCCTTTCAAGTATGTGAAGTGCTATCATATCTCTCCTCAGCCTTCTTTTCTCAAGGCTAAACATGACAAGTTCTCTCAGTCTTCCCTTATAGCGCTTGGTTTCCAGTTCTCTGATCATCCTTGTTACCCTCCTCTGAACTTGTGCTAGTCTGTCTATATCCTCCTTAAAGTGCAATGTCCAGAGCTGGACACAGTACTCAAGTTGAAACCTAATCAGTGCTGAATAGAGGGGAATGAAAACTTAACAGGACTTGAAGACTATACTTCTGTTAATAGCACTTGCTACTCCAAAAGCAGGCAACAATACAAATGAAAGAGAAAACATCAAAAACAAAACACAACCACCCACCAAAATATACAGCTTTAACTGAATAAATGCAATAAATTAACCAAATAACAATCTAAAAATTAATTTAACAGGGAAAGCACACACCTACAGAGAAACACATAAAGGAAAAAAAATCAACACACATAAAGCCCTCTTTCCTAAACCATGAAAAAAATTCAAACAGGAAAAAAATATCATGAAACCTTCATCAACCAAAACAGCTAGGATACGGGGCGAGTTCTCTCCCTTATGCTTTCTCTTGAGTCCAGCAGCCAGGCAAGCAGGCACAGACAGCACTACCTTAGCACACAAATTCCCATAATGACTAAAGCAACTTTCACTTTTTCCAACCAATCTAACCCTTTAACAAGTTCCAACATCCCTACTCTCCTGCTCCCGGACATTCTGATTGGTTACTAATAGCAGCTCTTGCGATATTGCTGGATGAAAAATTTCCCTGATAATTTGAGTGAAGTGAAATAAACGGTAAAGAAAAGGGGGAAACACAACGCTTTTACATATCCCTTTTTAGTATAAACAAACTGTTTAAGAGCCTCCCCCCCTTTTTTTTGGAAACTGATGAAAAACCACAGAAGCAAAAATAGTTTTCCTGTGTCTTTTCCTTTTGGATGTACGTACATTAAAATCCGTTCCCTAACAATTACATAATCCCAACAGAACAGCAGTTACTATAGAAATGCTACCTCCTGCAGTTCTTTGAAATTAGACCCAAAAAGATGCACTTGTTTTGTGCACTTGGTAAAGCAAATATGCTACCCAAATTATGTGACCAGATCTGAATGTCAAGTTATAGAAAGACATTTCCCCTTGTCCATAGATCCTCCTCTATTAATACAGACCCTGTAGGATTTGAAAAGTCTAGGATTTACTGCAGCAAACATTTTCCCCCATATAGAGTCTTATTTGTTTGAAACTCTGTTTCAAGACAAAAGCCAAAGTTAGATTCTGTTCATGTAAAAATCTTTCAAAATTGCTTGCTATGCTTCTTTGCTAAAGGAGCACACAAGTGCAACTATAAACAAAATGTGAAAATTAAAAATGATTATATTCTCAGGGCTATTAATGTTGCCATCTTAGCTGTTTGTTTGGACTCAATTACTGATTTTTTTTTTTAACAGTCACTGACCAGGACTCAATTACAAGTTATGTGTTAATTCTCATGATCATAATCTTAGGTGGTGAGATATTCTATATATAGGCTATCTTTGCTAGGTAGGCTGGATAAGAATGATGTTGTCCTGTAGTCTGTAAGTGGATTAGAAGAGTTTATATTTCACAAGCAAGCTAGGTAATGTAAACAAGATTATGGAGATGTTTAATTAAAATTAGATTTAAGACAGGAGCCACAAGTGATACTGACTAGAGAAATGCATTAAATGGTATTCATTTAGACATTCATTTATTCATTGGTCGAGAAATGGGGAACATGGCCTACAACTCATAAATTTTATGCTGCCATCAATCTATAGGTAAGAGACCCTCATTTTTTTAATTCCTGGTGTGTGTTAATGTAATAATTGCTTAAGGCTATCAAATGTGTTCCTTAGATTTTAGAATATGGCTGAAATATCTTTTTCTGACTACTTTTTATCGGTACAAGTTTTTACATTTTTGGACTGATAGTTTTCTTGTATATAGATTATAGATTAAATAAAGGCATGAAATAGTATTGGTTTGGCTAATTCACTTTTCTACACAGAAACAGTAGAATAAAATGCCAAATATCTAAATAAAGATCTGGCTCACCATGAGAATTATATAATTTATTCTTCTGCCCAGAAGAGGGATGAAGCATTTATACAGAGATGCCCAGATTTATTACTGACTCTCTTGGGTAAGCTCTTAAAACCCACTGCTCACACAACTCAGCAAGCAGCTCACCATGAGAACTATATAATTTATTTTTCTGCCCAGAAGAGGGATGAAGCATTTATACAGAGATGCCCAGATTTATTACTGACTCTCTTGGGTAAGCTCTTAAAACCCACTGCTCACACAGCAAGCAGAATAGGTGAACAGGATCTAGTCATTTTTACAGTTCTAGAACAGTAGAACTATGAACTTCAACTAAACAGAAATAGCCAGAGCTTTGGGTTTCATCTGGAATCAACGATATATGCACTCGATGCAACTTCATCTCCAAAGATATCAGTACAAGGACAACAAAAGGAGAAAACACAACAATGACACCTTATTCCTTGCTAAGACAAAGGGTTTATAAGATGTCAAAATCCTGTTGTAAATTTATACTAGAACAATTATAAATGCAGCAATTACAGTAGCAAATTGCCACTAATTAAGAGTTCATGCTTGCCATCTCTAGTCACACAATTGAAATGTGAACTGCAAGTCACATTTTAAAGTTACATTTACACTTGGGTAAATCTGCAATAGCACTCTGGCCATTACAATAGTAAAGGACTATCTACTTCCAATTGAAGGACCTGTGAATAAATGCCATATTTCTTTATTTTCATTTACATCTGCTTTAGTCATATATATAAATTACTTACCACAAACAAAGCTCCACCTCCACCACTGCGTGCTGTTGTTGTATGAAGGCAGCGTATCTGTGTCACCTAGAAATTGCATTTTACAGAAAAAAACCTTCAGTCATCACTAATAAGTTGGCTCTAGCTTCAGTCATACTCAGAGTAAACACACTGCAATTAATGGGCTTAAGTTATAATTCTTACTGGTTTCAATTATTTTAACCCATATATGAGCCATAATCAACAGAAAACAGTAGAAAGTAATACTTTCAGGCATATCTTTATTTAACCTATCCTTCCAAATCTGTTTTCCCTCCTCTTGTTCCCATTACATGAGTAATCTTCTTCCTCTCTGCCAACACCTCTTGTTCCCATTACATGAGTAATCTTCCTCTGCCAACGGTTGGAGGGCTACACATGCTTAACCCTTTAAAACTGGAGACTGCCACTCACTTTTCCAAATATGTTTTAATAAATGGAAAAACCAATCACCTGCTGTCTCATGTCTATTTATTGAGGGAGGGGGGATCATTTGAAAAGCTTGGGGAGGAAAACGTCATACAACATGGTAAAATTGCCTCCCACGCTCCCTAGAAAGGCACAAGGGGACTTTCTGAGCTCCAAATAAGAATGAGCATCCTAGAAATACTGGGTGGAGGGGCATGCCTGCTCTAAACCACTAACTAACAGTAGTACCCTAATATCGTCACAGAAAATAATTAAAAATCATATGCTATGCATGCATGGAGAAAGAAAATGTAAGCATCCATGCTGTAACTGACAGGATGGCAATAATACTATGCACAACACATGGGGATAAGTATACAGGAAACAATATTCCAGAAGATCAATGAGCTATTACAAATAAAACAATACTAGTGCAAGATTTCAAAGCAGAAAAATATTCTACAAGATTCAGGTGAAAGAACAGAAAACATAAATTTCCTATTCCTTTTGAATTCCCAACCAATTATTATACACTTAGCCTTTCAATGCTTATTTGAGAAACAGCATGGTAGCATACATTTATGTGTTCTGATAAGCTTATAAAGAAGCAAGGCTGGATAGAATGGAACTTCATCTCAATAAGATACCCCTATTCAAAGAGTGGGCCTCAGCCATGCTGTAAGAGATAAAAATATCTCAAGTTCCATTGAAACAAATTAAGCAACCAAATCCATTAATTTTACATTTAGAGTTTGCTATTCATCACTATATGACTTTATGACCAGAAACTGCAGGGTTGTAATTACCATTAATACAACTAGTCAGAAGCAATATACCTTGAATCATAAAAGACAAAACAATTTCAATTTCTTTCGCTGTATCTGTTCCAGGGCAAGTTGAAGGTTAAAAACATAAGGAAAAAGCCTGACAGAGTGCATCAGTGTTTTGCTAGTAGCAAAGTAATTGTTCCTCACTCTATGGTCAGGTAGATGCATCTAGGAAGCTGATGCGGAAGCTTGAACGCGACGCCGTGGCTCATCCTCAGCAGTTACTCTACAGAGGGTTGACTGTCTTTACATGGAGAGCCTGCATGACTTATGTGGCCCAGAGTTAGTAAACTCGTCTTTTGTTAATCCGAGCCATTTAGAAGGCAAACTACACACAGGAGCAAAAAGGGCTAGCTTTACCAGTCAATCTACTGAAACCACTGGTAGATCAGAAAAAGCAGCATACATAGGTCCTTGCAGCTGCCACCGTCCGGATTCCCCCTCTCCGGGAGAAAAGCCACAACCATGAAAGTGCAGGCAGGCAGAGAGGTCAGGCACCTCCATCCAAGCTACACTTCCAGTCCCGCCCCCTCAACTCAAACAGATTTCGGAACAACCTAGTTCGGTCTACCATGATTACGGGAACACTGAACTTCGAAGAGAGCTACACATTACACGCAAACACGCGTGATCCACTCCTGACGGTCACCTAGCGTAAGAGAACAGGAGGGGATTTTCGCGGGTGGGTGCGCAGGATTATGAAGGGCGTGTGGTTTCTCGTCCAGATTTCTCTCCCCGTTTCAACCCGAAAAACCTGGAATCTCCTCCCCCCCCCTCCACGCAGACTTGCAAGATGTGACCTCCCAAACCCTTCGGACGTTAGCTGATAACCCCCGCATTCCTCGGTATTCCTCCCATACACACCCGGTCCCCGCCTTCCGTTTATCCTCCGCAGAGGGGAGCCGGACCCACCGGCGAAGTTTTCAGGCTCCTCCTCTTCCCCTCCGGCAAGGAAGGGGCAGGCGGCCGTGCCCTTGGCCTCCAGCGCCCTCCACAGACCTTGCCAGAGAGGCCCAGCTCTTTCGCCAGGCCTGTGAAAAAAAGCGGGACGTCCCCGACGCCCTCCTTACCGAACGCGCGGCGAGAGCTCGGAAGGGAGTGGAGAGCAACATGGCGGCACTGGCCGCAAACTGCAACCACCCAACGCCTTCTTCTCTCCGGCCTTCGAAGACGCAGCTTTAAGCCTGCGCCCTGCAAGAGAAGATGGTGCGCTCACGCAGCCGCAGTGAGAACACCAGCCTAGCGTAGAGGAAGACCGCGCGTACGCGCTTTTCAGTTCCGAAAGTGTCCACGCGCGCTCCCGAAAGGGGAAGACAGGAGGCAGAGAGGGCGGGGCTTCGGCCTCAGAGGCGTTTGACGAACAAGAGCGAGGGTCTGACAAGAGCCGAGGAGTCTGGGCTTTGGAATCTGTCCCGTGGGGAGGGGGGGGGGCTTTCCTCTCTATGTAACAGCCTAGTGTGTAACAGATACGTTTATATGCCAAGCCGTCTCTGAAGATTGTCAGTCATCCAGGTGGGGTTATCTGGAAGTTGAGTCATGGCAACTGGATTTCTTTCTTGTTAGGTCGAAACGTTTCACTAATGGTCCAAGTAGCTTCTTCAGGCTGAAGCAGTCCAATTGCCATGACTCAACTTCGAAAACACCTCGTACGCTTGAAGAAAATCCGGAAAGGAGCGAGTAGTGCCTGTGTTGGACAACGTAAATGTTTTGATAATATTTAATATGCAATTCAGTATTAGTATTGAAATATTTTTAAGAGCTATGAAAACTGTTGCATGCTGTGCAGCTCATATGAGAGGTTTATTCAGGTTCTGAGAGATGGCAAGGGAAGGCACAGGGTGATGAGGACAAAAGCCCCAAGTGCCAAAGTTAAGAGGGTGCAGGAAGGAGCACTGAAGGTAGCAAATGTACAGACCCTGTTCATCTCTGCCCTCTGTGGGGCACTCTGTTTACGATAGCTGCTTGGTGGCCACTGCATTGCTCTACTCCAGAGTGGAAAGACACCCAGCCATCTTCTCTTGAAGAGCCTCTAAACACTTCCCTGGAGAAATGGAGTGGCTCTAATTCTGAGACAAGATGTAGCACAAGCAGTTAGGGCCTATAATGAAATATCTGACCAAATAATAGACATGAGACCTCTGGGAAAACCCATCAGTGTAATCATCATTGACCTCTATGCTCCAACTACTAATGCTGAAGAATATGAAACTGAAAGCTTTTATGCAAGCATCCAGGAGGAAATATATAACACTAAAACAAGACATGCTTATAATCATAGGTTACTGGAACACAAAAATAGGAAACAAAACAGAATCAAATGCCATTGGAAATTTTGGGCTAGGGGTCACAAATGTAGCAGGAGAATTACTCACAGAATTCTGTGAAGCCAACAATGTGACCTTTGTTACATGCTGTCTGGAATGCTCTCACATTGATTTATTGTACTCCCTTATACTCTGGCTACTACCCCCCTCCCTCTGTATAGCATGGTGGAAAGCTGTAGCCTTACATCTGCTTCTGGAGTGCAGCTCCCATAATCCTTCACTTCCCCTTCAAAATCCAGCTTGTATTTGTGGGATTTCTTGGTCCACATACTGCTGAAGCCTATTTTGACTATAACCTTGCTAGCGTGTGAAATGAGTGCAATTGTACGGTAGTTGGAGCATTCTTTGGCACTGCCCTTCTTTGGGATTGGGATGTAGACTAATCTTTTCCAATCCTCTGGCCACTGCTGAGGTTTCCATTGATGATGATAAAAAAAGTGCACTGGTCCTTTGACATTGGGCTTGGCACCAGGGTGGGTGACATGACCTTTAGCCTGGTTTGTTCCTTTTTGCACACCACACACAGAATGATTAAAGTGGTAGGAAAAGCCCACCCCCAACTCTGTGTTGGCTGTCTCTAGCAAGCACGCCATTGCTAGTACCACTCTGGCAGCCATTGATGATGATTAAATCCTCTGTGAGCTAGCAAAAATTTAATGCAACTTCCTAGGCATGTTGGACAGCTTACTGCTCCCTATACCACCCCATGGCTGAAGTGCAATGTGTTCCAGCAAAACTAGTGCACATCTTTATTAAATTTGGTGCATCATACTAGTTTGGTACATAGCCTGGCAGCCATTGATACTGATGATATATCCTGCTAGTTTGGTACACAGCCTGTGTAGATTCAATAATATTTTGAATTCAAATAATGTATGATTTCTTTCCTTTCAAATCAAGGGGGTAATGTTGGCATATACAAATTGGGGGGGGGGATAAAAGGTAAAAAAGTTCCCTGACCCCTGCCTTATACTCTTTCATCCAACATTAATAAAAACGTTGAATATTGGGCCAGTGTACAACTCTGTGGCATTCCTGTGTGAGACCCAAGGCGAGGCGATAGAAGTGCTTGCTGGAGTGTCGTCCTCCTTTAAGAGAGAAAAGGAGACCCAAATGGAATCTACAGCTCCCCGCATCACAGTCAGGCACCAGGGAATAGACACCTGTGATTTGGACCAGGGTTTGACAAGACTGTCGGTGGCCACTCAGGACTAGAAAAGGTGGGAACAAGGGTGAAGGAGCAACCGTTGGTAGAGGCGGGACATGGGGATATAAAAGGGGAACGAGACAACATACCAGGGGGTTGGGAACTAATATGGGTCGAGGATCCCTGGACTGGGAGATGTGAAAAAGTAAGAGTGCCTCGAGAGGAGGCTGATTACAGGCGAAGAAAGGGTTTGCCTCCTAAACCGTCCTATTGGGGGGAATCCGAAGCCAGAGAGTGGCAGAGGCACCTGAGGGAGGAGAAGGAGGCGGTAGAAAGGGAGGAATGAGAAAGAAGAGCATGGCGTCTGGAGGAGGCTCGCCGGAGGAGGTATTTACCGGACCTTGGTTCTCCTATTCATAGGGAGCCGAACCATACGATCAGGAGAGGGGAGGTGAGGAGACATTACCCCTGATAGAGGTGGACATTGATCCCAAGGACCAGGGTGAGACTAACCCTTTTCTAAAGGACCCTGATATGATCCAAGTTACAACCCCTTTTTGCAAGATCTATGGACACCCTTGTTTGACCCGTTGGCGACAAGAGAAAAGAACAATGATAAGTTTAATGTTAATACTTCTTTATTTGATGTACCAATAAACCCCAGTTCTGTTTTTCAAAAAACTTAGCATCCGGTGTTTGTGTCCAACCAGCCTGAGGTTAATCTTGAACCCTCACATCCTGTTGTTGCTTTTCTCCAGATGACGGGATCATTGGCACTCTATGAGTCCATCTACAAATCTACCTAACAACAGAGTACTGTAATCCAATACACCTTTCACCAGACTTTTCTCTTTTTTTCCAAATTAGATATAGCAGTAAATTCCTATGATGTGTATATGGAATACTGCTGTATTGAACGTGTTCTTTACAGCAGCATTCTAGAATTATTAAAATCCTGCTGGGACTAAGTTTAATCAGTCTCAAAGGCTGTTAGGCTCCACTGTTCCAAAATGCTCCAAATGCTCCTTTTATTTGTCAGAGTTATTGCTGAAAATGTTGCTTTTTCCTTATGCACAACATGCATAATTCTCCTTTTTTTAAAAAAGTCATTGATGCTGCAATTATGAAAATCCTTCCTTGACAGAACATTTTCTCATATCACCATTCTTCTAAACTATATTTTAAGTGTACTAGGTTGTTGCTGTTACGTATTCATGCTGCCTAGTAAAATAATATTAGGTTTCTGTTTGTCACTGCTATTTCTCATCAATGTTGATGTAATCTCAGCCCCACAAGGGATTAAACTTTTCCAATTTCTATCCAGTACAAAGGGCCACATTTTCAAAACAGTTCCAAGACCAGATGTTTCATGTCCTCAGTGACCAAAATCAGGATTAAACTCTAAGATCTTGCCTGGCAGTACATAAATAGTCATGCAATAGCAATTCTGACATTCTGTTTCTAGTTCATTGCTGTATAAACAGCAGGGCTTCATAAACATTAGACATGTAGTTCCAAAACTGTGTTTCAGAATTTCCTTGCCAAAAGAGTGATGAAAAGCTGGTAACAATGGTTTACTAATTGGTACCAATTTCAAGTGGTTACTACAGAACAGCTGAATTTGACCAAACTCTGGGAGGCAGTGGAAGACGGGAGGGCCTGGGGGTCTGGTCCATGGGGTCACGAAGAGTTGGATGTGACTTAACAACTAAACAACAACAACTCTGTGTGTGTGTGTGTGTGTCACGAAGAGTCGGATGCGACTTAACAACTAAACAACAACAACTCTCTCTCTGTGTGTGTGTGTGTGTGTGTGTGTGTGTGTGTACTTTAAAGCAATAAAACAATATACTGTATAACATCAAGCAATACCCCACCCTAGAACAAATACTAGAGACAAGCAATGCAATTGAACTAAAGCCACTGTATAAAAACTGACTAACTACATTCCATGAAACACATAGGAATAGGAAAATATTTTAACCTGGAACCAAAAAATATTATAAACTTGAGGTCTGCCTGCTGGGCCCCCACTGGGAGAATATTTCAAATGTGTATGTGGTGAGGCAATGGAGAAGGTCCTCGTCTCATTTGTCATCAGCCCCCAAGCCTTTCTCAGTGAAAGTATTTGGACGAAGGCTTTAGATTATAATCTTGGTATGTAGTACTAGTGCAGAAGCAAAGGCCCATCTTGCGCTTCCAACAGGATATCCCCTGGTTTAATTTGCGCAGCACCATGCCTTAACAGTTAATGTGGAGTGACATTGCAGCTTCTAGTGTGTGCCAGTATCACCACTTGTGTTTCTTAATTTTTTATATTCCACACACCTTCCTGGCTGGCTGGGTAGCTCAGTGGTTTAGATACGTATTTGATTGCCCACCATAACTCCTGGGACGGAAAAGAGCAGATACGGATCAAATGGTTCTCAATGCATTCCTATGGGAAATGCAGATTTGACCTGAGAACTTTTTGACTTGAGAACCACCTTCCAATACGGATTAAGTTCTCAAGTCAGGACCCCACTATACGTATTTGATTGCTCACCTTTACTCCTGGCGTAAGAGCCAGCCTGTGTGGCCTTGGGCAAGCTGCACAGTCCCTGGGTACTCCCAGAAGAAGGGAACAGGAAACTACTTCTCACTACCATGTAGGATCCTCACTACCTGGAAAACCCTGGAAAGGGTTTAAATCAGAGTTGTCCTGATGGCACACAATTATAATTATTTATACCTTCCTAATATTTACATTCCATATACTTTCCTAATGTATACCGATGGACAGCTTGCAGAGATTGGAGGAGTGCATTAGAGTTCCCAGAACC